GATTTTAATTTGACTAACAATAAAATTTATGTTTCAAATATTAAAAAATTAATAATATAACTTCAATTATTAAAATTAGTACTACTTGAAAACAATATATAGAAAACAATATAAAGAAGAAAATTATTATAATAATTCATTCTTTAATATATTCTTTAATATAATTGACAAAAATATATCAATTTCTATGTAGTGTAATATAATGGATGAAATTTATGACATTTATTAATATTCATAATGCGAAATATAAATTGTAAAAAAAAAAGAAAGAGAGAGAATAAAATATTTAAATCTTCTCATGCAATAAAAAATATATATATTACTTAATTACATTTCTGAAAATAATTTAAATTGTTTAAATTGTTTTCTTATTATCTTATGAATATCATAAAATGTGTTTTATAGAAAAGTCACAAGTTAATGTTTTGAAAATGTTTTGATGCCAGTAAAAGTATAAAGTATAAAAGTAAAAAATATAGTTTTTAACAAAAAAATATTGAAATTTACCTTTACACGCTTTTTCAAGATCAAGCTAAGTCGAATATTAGTAGTATTCGTGTATTTTGGTATACTATGGTTTTTGTCTTAAATATTTCTTCATACTTTTTATATCTTTCTAAAATATTTATATGCTAAGATTAAAATAGGACACTCTGTATATTTCATTATACAAGATAAACTATAATAAGTAAATGTCAATTTTATTATTTGCATTGTATAAAAAATTATACGAAACGAAGTTATACAATTTGAAAAAAAATATAATGAAGTGAAAATTTTTTAAATAATTTTTTTTTTTTTTTTAAAAAGATTTTAAAATAATCAGAATTTTTTAAATAAAATCCTATATCTTTATAGATTAGAAAGTAAATTCAATTATCATATTATTAAAATTTTTTAAAAACAAATAGCTACACGAATAAACGTCCGTTATCAATCAAATGCTTCGAAAAAGCTGTTTTGCTGATGGTGTTTTCGTTGACTGTAGCATAAGTTCATTGTTTAGCTATGTTTTGCAATATTATTTATATTTGCAATATAATTTTTTGTTATATTTATTTAACATTAAAAGCATATAAATAATTAATGATTTTCTTTGATATGTAAATGCTACTTTAAATATTTTTTTTAAAAAAAAATTTTGCAGGCTATCAATAAAGTAAGTGTAAGCATATAATAATTATATATGTAGATATCAAATATGTATTTACCAAAGTTGAGCATTATATAATGTTCTTAACATTTTATGATATTCAAATTAAAAGATTTTCTTAACAAATTTAAACATATATCATTATTATTACAGTAAAATTTATATTATTATTATTATATTATTATTATAATAAAATTAAATAATATTTTTAAAATTACTTAAATTAAAAAGTTTTTTTAACAAATAATTTTTCCAAATAATCAGCTTTTTTGTAGATAATGATTTTGTAAATGATGATATAGTTCAATTAAGATATTAAAAAATATTACATTCAAGAAAACATTTGATTTTTAAATGTTTTTCATCTATTTATTTATAAAAAAACTTACTTATATTATATCAAATTATTTTTCTCCTGAAATTATATAATTTTCATACAAAATATTTATCTTGTATATAGAGTGTCTTATGTAAGCGTTATTACGATTTTTCAGACACTTTGTAAAAAAATTTATAAAATAAATTTTTAACATAATCTGTGAAAAAAGTATTTTCAATATAATTTTCAAATTTCAATAAAAGTTTTCAAAAAATTTTGTTTTCGATAACATATTAAAGTAATATTAAAGTCAACTTGAGTTTTTTAAATAGTACCATATATTTTTCACAGCAATCTAGCTGATGTTAAAACAAGTTCAATGACCTTGTATACTATGATCTTGAGATAACCTTGGATTCAGAAATATGAAATCTAAAAACGGAGACGTTAATGTTAAAAACAACGTAATACAAGGTATGTTGATTTTTATTTTATTTATACTTTTTTTGTAATACGTTTGTAATTGTTGAGTTTTTTATTATGATTTGATATAAAAAAACATTTAATGAAAATTATAACTTCGTGTTTCTGAATCTAAAATCACTTCAAGATCATAATCATTACATCAAGATCATACTGGATTATTGAATTCGTCTTGACGCTATACTAATAAAATAAAAATATACCTAAAAATGAAAAGATTAATTTTTGTTATTAGAAACAGAAGTACAAAAAGAAAGGAAGGAAGAAAAGAAAGAAAGAAAAAAAGATTTTTATTTATATTATTAAATTTATTAAATTTTACTTATATTTATTTAAAAAATCATTTTTTATTCATTATTTATTTAAAAAATCATGATGAGAGTTATATGGAAATCTTATATAAAGTTTCATTTAAAAAAGTATCAATGATCTTGGAATCGATTTAAAAAAAATGACTATAAAAAACAAATTTTTTTATTGTATAACGTATAAACTTGTATTTTCCAAAAATCATTGCAGATTTCCTTTAAAATCTTTTAAAATTATGTATTATTACATTTTTTTATAAATTTTTTTAACAGAAATTTTTATGATAGATTTTATAATTTATAATATCTATAATATATAATATAATATCATTTATATCGTTTATAAGTTTTAATAAATGCTATTACATCAGTAATTCTTAATATTATGTTAAATCTAAATTCGGATTTGTTATGAACAAATGTTAATAAAACATAATCAAATATTAATATATTATATGTATAATGCTAATATTTAATATTAGTGTGACTTCGACACATTTAATATATTAATTAAGGATTAAAGTAGTTGATTGTATTATAGAAAGTAAGAATACAATTTCGATTATATTTTTATATTGATCACGAAAGATAATTTTAAATATATTATTTATTATCAATAAAATTTTAAATGGCCATTTTTTTTTTAAACTAAGTTTTGTATTATTTTCAACACAATTATTTTTTTGTTTTTGTATAAACATATTTTTTTTATGTTATTATTAATTATGTTTTTTATTCATATCTTATATTCATAAATTCAATGCATTTTCTACTTTATTAATCTCATATTGTACTATAACTTTAATATTTTAACTCTTTGCGCTCCAACGCTGATTCTCGGTCACCACTTGAGTTAATGCCATAATTCCAGCGGTGACTCTCCAGCACCACTGGGATTGCGACAACTTGAACGGCGACAATATTTATTTATGTTTGATTCTTTTAAAATATCATTTCATAAATAGGTTCCTAAGCTCTTTACGTATAATCTTATGAGGTGTAGAATAATATATTATTAAATGGCTAGATTTTTTATCTCATATTAGACCGTAATCGTGAGTCGAATATTCGGCATTAGTTTGAATTTGACAGTCGTGGCAATAGAAATATTATTTTCAAAGTTTTTGAGATTTGTAAATATGAAAAATAAGCGGTAATGAAATTAGTTGAAGTAAAGATGAGTTTGATTTTTCGTTATTGAATGACAAAATTATTCTTTCTATTCATAAAGAAATTAACGATAAAGAAAGCAATGATGAACATGATGAAATAAGAGGTATAAGAAGGCGAAAAATAAGAATAATAGATAGTGAATGTGAAAGCAAT